GTTTCACAAAGTCACCATTAGCTGGAAGGAATCGACGCGGTGCGCGCTCATCATTAGCAGAAGGTCTGGAGAGGACATTCTTCCAATATTCCGTGAAACCTGGAATGTTCTCGTCCTCATTAAGAAAGGCAGTGCTCCATCTTCCGTCAATCACCGTACTTGCAGCGTCTTTCCGGCGGGTATGATAAAGACGTTGAATATGGCCATGTTGTAGGCGTCGCCGGTGCTGATTGTTTCGAATCTTAACGATATGTACACGTTTTTTCGAAGGCCTCCATCTGTGTGGAAAGAGAGTAGCACACACATCGTTTAAGGCCTCACTAAATGCTATCCTCGATCCATCAGTAGCGAATGAATTCACCAGATTCCGAAGTATGCGGTGTTCCTCCTTGGCAGGAGAGGCGCAGTTGCAAAGAAGCTGTTGGGCAGGTAGCAGCAGAGTGCGGAATACTGGTGTTGGCGCGGACGCAATGGAAGCTTCGTAATTAGAATTGGAAGCTTCTGGTTGATCCTGTACCACAATGGCCGTGGGGCACATAGTGGACGGAGGGGCCATAATACCAACAGCATTGCTTGCTTCTTTTGCCCTTGTACAGTGGTAGTACAAGGGCATCCTACAGCTAAGGAGGAACCTCCTTCTCAATGCGTAAGTGTTGCACCAAGTGGTGCAGAGCAGTCACGGACGCCGGTCCGCCGTTTTTCCACACTTCAGGTAGGATCCCGTCGGCACCGGCACACTTGCCGTTTCGCAGCTGAGCAAGTGCTCTCTGCGTCTCATCCAGTGTCGGTATGTCCGCCAGACTCGCCTTCACATCGTGCTGCTTAAAGCCATTCAAACTAGGCCAGTCGGTTGTTCAAGAAACAGTCAAAGTGTTTCCTCTAGGTCTTCATCATGTCTGCTGTCTGTGTGCGGGTAGCACCTGAACTACCATCGATCAGCGTCCACAGCGGCTCCAACTTCGGTCCATACACTGCCTTCAAGGAGTCAAAGAATTCCTTGTGTTTGCGACGTTCGGCGTGGCATTCCCTCCGATTCGTCTTCTCCGTCCACCATAAACTTTTAACGCGACGGAGCCCTTGGGGAAGCCGCCATAGAATTTAGCCCAACTGACTTTGCTTCCCCAAGTCACTGGGATCTGCCACATGTGCAGAAAATGCTGCATTGTTCTTACACACCAATGCGTTAATCGGCGCATTGTTCTCATCAAACCAATCTGAACGCTTGCGGTTTGCGCTCCCGATGGTCTCCTCCGCAGCAGCTGTCACCCGGTCGCGAATGTGGTGCCACAGCCCGCCCACTGTGGCTTTACAGTCCACATCACACAGGTGTGCAGCCTTCACCTTCTCCAGCTCAACACGTTGCTCCACAGTACCGAAGGGGATAATGTTAAATATACGTCAATTCGCAGCGGGAGTGCGATACATGGTTGGCGGCATCCGGTTTCGGATTTGTCTGTCACTGTGGCAAGCCACAGGACACCTGCACCTACAGAGGGACCATGGGTGGCTTGCGCTGTACCACCCACAGCTCCAACCACACACCCCATATCCAGTGTAAACCCGAAGGAATAAGACCGGGAGGCATGCGGATGGGAGCCACGTTTCATCAACGGAGCCGGCCCACACTCCTTCACACCAAACACAAGCATGCTGTATGTGGGAAGCAAGCGCACGCAAGACGGTGGCTGGACCGTAGTCCGCTCCACACTGAGTGCATGGAACCACTCTTTGATCCTAACACGGCCACAATGACCGTGCACCCTGCACTGTCTCCTGGAGCCAGTTGGGACGAGGTAGTGGGTAATAGACAGGTAGGCACCTTGTCAACATGCACATCAAGCGCAGTCACACCGGGGATATCAAACAACAGCCAATCACTTGAGAGAGAGACAAAGAAAATAACTCGATTAATGCATAAGGAAATGTTGACATAAACCTTACGGTAATCAGCATATGAAATAAGTTGTGTACAAATGAATCCTAGATAAGTTCACGAGGTCAGAAATTATACTTTACGGAAATGCCACGAACACAAAAATGTTATGGAAATCGAATACAATTGGCTTAAGCGAGGTGTGCAAGGTAATGGAAGAGAGCACAGGTAGATATTTATATGAGAAAGAAAAGCATTAAGGCAAAATTGAAAACCCACCACTTGAAATAATGAGACTTAGCATGCAAGCACGCTGTTACTAAATCGAATGCAGCGTACCTACAAACGCTGCGCCGGTTCTGAATACTTCTCTGCAGGACCCGTCGTCGCTTCTGTAGTGGTCCCGAGTGGCCTTGCTCATGGCTCACTAGACATTTATATGAGAAAGAAAGGCATTAGGACAAAACTGAAAACCCACCACCTGAATGAAAACCCACGATACATAGATCTAACAAAACATACCTACGGTTTGGTCCGCACCAATTGGTGATCAGTGCCACACAGCTGCACGCAGTACGCGTGTCATGCGCACTTCACGCATATCATGCTTAGGTGCAATGACATAGTCGAGCAGGTGAGCGCGACCACTCCGTGGGTGCGTCCAAGTTGCTATATCACTCGCGCTCAGTGCAAACCGAGTGTTCGTGATAATCAAGCCGTGAGTGGCACACAGTCAGAGCACCCTGTTTCCCTTCGCATTCGCTGAACCAATGCCATGCTGACCGGTGACATCTGTCCACACCGATGCCTCAAGCCCAACGCGCGAGTTGAAACCACCCAGCAAAAATAGTCGGTCGCTCTTCGGCACAGACCGCATCACCGAGGACAGCTGGGTGTAGACTTGATCACGCATGTCAGCAGGATAACACATGGTCGGATCGTACATGCTTATAAGAGTGGCAAACTTATCGCTTCCGAGTCGTAGGCGAACAGTCATCAGTTTTGCGCTGATCCCTGTTAATTCACCCACTAGATGGCAATGGAGGCGATCGGATATTGAAACTCCTACCCCATGTTCACGTGGTGCTGAGGTGACGTTGCCCACCCAGTAGAACGTGTAGCCAGCACCTGCTTCCTTCAACTTACCATGTTCAGCGAGCCGAGTCTCACCGAGCGCCGCAATCTCGATGTGGTAACGCGCCAGCTCCATCGCGACCAGTGCAGTGCGTCGTTCCGGGCGCTCGCTGGAGTTCCGGTCCAGTAGTGTGCGCACGTTCCAGCACCCGATGCTGCGTGCTTTGCGCGCAGGCGTACAATTGCATTGGTGGGCAATCGCACGCGAGGTGGGGTTTGTGCTTCGGAGGTTTGCTTGAGGGACTTCACCCGGAGTCTTTGGCTCAATAGCCTGACCCACAAGGCAGAAGGTGATTTGGAGGTTTGCTTGAATGACTGCGTCCGAAGCCTGACTCAGTAGCCTAACCCACAAGGCAGTGGGGAGCAGAATCAGCTCGGGAATATGATTGCAGAGACAGATTGGGATCTGCTTGAGGTCCGTCATAGTCAGCCTTTGGAGATCTGGAAAAATTCCTATATGTTTTGCGACCGTAGTAGGATATGCATCAGCCACCAGGGCCAGACGCAGGTGGGTTTTGGTGGGTTTGCACCAATTTGACCAAAGGACGCCTGGCTTGAGGCGGGCAGTAGCAAACCACTGAGCACCCGAAGCTGCCCTCCCACCGTCAGCGACAATGCGTGCTTTGCACCCATCGAGCTGTGAGCTTATAATCAGTAGACCTGTTGTCTCCCATGGCTAGGTTATACGGGAAGTGGGCCATCGACCACTTCTAATCTCCGAAGATTATTGACAAGGCTACGGACAGGGCGCCCACACCTGACAGGAGAACGACTCCGGTCCTCAGCCAAGGCTTTCGATTAAATGTACATCCGAAAGGCAGCGGGTCTAGCACATTTTCAGTTCACTGACTCATGTGATTTGGTGTCATGCATCTTAGCAAGGAGAAGGGCGTAACCCAACACCCATCCAGCGGTCGTCACGTGGAGGAGTCCAGGGCATGAACCTATGGCAAAACAGTAGAAGCGGTGGGTAGATCATCTGTCAGGGGCTAGCCACTACCAACCTCAGCGCAACATAGGCCTTCCTGATATATATATATATATATATATATATATATATATATATATATATATATACAACCTGTGAAACAGATATTGTGCCATCAGATACACGGCTGAATAAGAAAACAGTATGAATAATAAGAAAAGAGCAACAACGATAACAGTTTTGTTTTTCTAGCTTGCCACTCACAGTTATTGAAATTATTGTTAGCTTGTTCGTTTTAGGGGGAGGAAGAAGGGACACCGCAACACACCGATGCACACATCCACCATTAACATCCATCTTGAGCCATGGCTTCTAAGGTTTTCAATCAGCAAGTATCCGCATCTCTCGGGCCCCAACCAGGTAGTCGACAACAACCGGTCGAGGTCAACGGTTTCGTCAGCTTTTTCATGCGGATTCTACATGTTGTAGACTGTCCAGCAGACCCTCTCTTCCAGCCCCGTTCAGCAACCGCGAACAACGCACGATGCGGGTAACGCTGGACAGGCATGCGCAATACGTGTCCCAACCACCGCAGTTGATGCAGTGAGACGAGCTCCTCGAGCGAGTGGCTTCCACGTCCCAAGACACGCTGTCTAACTTCCACATTCCTTCCGTGATGCTGCCACCACACACGGGCAATGGATCGTAGACAGCGGTGCTCGAAGACGCGTAATCTGCGCAAGTCATCTTTACGAATGCGCCAGATCTCTCATCCGTACAGCAGTACAGCACGAACAGTTGCACAATAGACCTGCCCTTTGATGGGGAGACGAATGTCGTGGCGACGCCCCAAATGCCTCAGCCTAGAAAAAGCGAGGCGCGCATAAGGGTAGGAGACCTCGAATTATATGTATCCCAATCATGGCCGGTGATGATCGCATGTCGTCGAAGCGTCAGCATGAACGACCGGCGTACTGCTGATGTTTTCCTTCCAGTTCAGAAAACAGCCGTAGTTGTTTCCCATTTAAGAGGCTTGTGCCAACTTCTGCTAATTCAAAGGTTCCAATCGATGTTCATGAGAATAGGTGCTCACGTGATTTGAAGTGTGAACAAATGGACAATTTTTAGATTCAACACCCCCAACTGAACAATACGAGAGGTGATTGACGGTTGTGTGTAAGTTGAAAATCCCCAGCCACCGAATCATCAGTTCAGCTGCCATTAGCTCAGGAGCCTTCGAGTTCTTCATGCTTCACACTGGGCAAAGCCTTAGCCTACACTGGGCCTTAGTTTTGCTAGGCTGTCTCACGCCGACCCACATGTACACTACTGATGCGCCCAGATGCTGCATTCGTTCTAAATCCGTGTGTAGATGTCCACGAGTTTGGTTCCATCGACAACCTAGGAGGTGCGGAATCGGTTTGGAAAATGTTACAAATGCTCTTTTAAGTCCCCTGCTTTTTGTGGAGAAGGGGGAGCAACTGATGGATGGTTGGTACACCGTCCTCGTTCTGGATACGGAGGCCTTCGAGGAACCGACCAGATGGAGCCATGCATATCTTGTTTTCGCCGCTACAGATGTGAACAAGAAATGCATACTCAACGATGACGGGTGTCAGGTGACTGCAAGTATCAAACCGTCCACACCCAAATGTCAGGGAGAGTATGCCCGCTACGGACCACTGCGTGTTGCATTAGTGCGACAGCATAGACAGTTCGGGAACGGAATTCAGGCTTATTTTCTCAATCGAACATTCAGTTACAATGTTCTCTACCGAAAGGATTTGTTTGACGGCGCTCCTGTCCGTATGAATGAGTACGTGGCTCATTACTGTGCACACTCACCGCTATTCGACCCGTTTTTAGCCACCGCGTTCAAGGAATCCGAACGATTTGGTTGCAGCGCAGAAACAAAGGATGCGGACGGGCTGAGGAGTCCATTTCTAGATCATTTTTCCGACATCATAGTTCCGCAATCGGCAGTCACCGCCGAACTACAGCAGTGCTACATTTACGAAGATTGGCTCAGTAAACCAGCGCAGCCCAAGACAGAAAGGTCTATGTTCTCAAAAGTGTGTCCATTCGATACACTCTCCTGGGTTGACAGAACCGCTGTTGGTGTCGAACAACGGGAATTTCTGGAGTATATGCGAGACAGAACGGACATTTACTTCTATCTTACTCAAATGGAGGCGATGCATTTGAGTAGGCTCATAAACACTTCCAAACAGTATGAGCCGTTGTTGACCGATGAAGGCCCACCACCTGACGGACAAACTCATGATATCCATCCGTACTTCTGCCCCTTGTACTCAAGGCAGCTCAAGAAAACCACTCAGGTGGCTACACGTGGAGAGGCCTATCGCCAAATTCTACACCATCTTGGATATCAGTGGTCACCAAACCTTAACTTTTACCGGAACGATTAATAGGTGTAGGTTTGCGAAATTGCTTTGTCTTGTTGTGTAACAGTTGTGTTTCCTACAGCGCCTGCTCGGAAATTGGACAATAGTGGAATCAAACATGTCGGCTTGTTCTCCGAGCTGGGAATTTCTGTTGTAAACGTTTCGTTGAAAATCTACGCAACTTCCTCAGTACGGCTATCAAGTCCTGATTCGCGGAGTGGTTTGTGAGACTCCGAGCCATGACTATTCTCAATAATTTCCAAGCAATGAAATTACCTCACTCATTGACCAGCACAATTAGCCATGCATTCAGCCACCTGCTGAGTTCGACAACCCAAGTCCAATCGAGGAAACATTGTCAATGTAAATAAATTTCGAGGCGATGTTATCAACAGAAGAATAGGGATAGGAATCCGAATCAGGAAGAATTGCAATAAGATGCTGACTCCAACAACTAACTGGATTCTTTAACTCCATCAGGATAGAGGTCAAACGAGTAGATCGTAGGGCTTTTAAGCTCAACGAGAGTAAAAATAACCTGTCTGTGGTTTGCAACGTTGACCTCTAGGTTAACCTGTCACCTTTGCAGTGAACATGACACATCTATTGGTGCACGAAAGTTCAGAAACAACCCTCATCAGTTCAGGCACCACATCAAACCCAACCCCAATATCAACATGAAGGAGTGGGCTCAGGAGACAAATGTATGATCATCACAGTAGTTGCAGTGCCGGAAAGCCGTTCGTTGTATGCATCATCCATCACACTAAGGCAAAGGCGCAGAAACCGTACCTCAATCCCCCCCTTTGGTAAGCTTACTGTTTATAAGTCACGACGACAAGGAGATGGAGGTGGCTGAGTTATCTAATTTACTGTGCCGTTACGTCAACAGCATCGGCTTGTAGAAAGCTATTCAAGTACTACAAAACTGATCTCCCTGCGTCCGTTTGCAGCATCTTCGTAAATAGCTAACAAGTTGAACTCCATGTGGCTATCACTGGCATTCGCAGGTGGCCAGCGAAGACAGTGTATCTGTTCTACACACTTGCACCTATGGCTAGCCAATGATTGCCATTGGTGCCGGCAGAAATCGCGTTAGATAACGGTGCTTTATTGTGTACACCTAAAGAGATTACCCCACCTCCACTTGGCGGTTCGCGTTATCAAGCTTGGATAGACTAACGCGCCGATCACAATGCTAGTAGTATTTGGCCACCTTTGTTTCATGAATTCACTTCACCGTAACTTCAAACGGCCACAGAATATTCGTTTCTTCAAATAATCTATGAGCGATTTGTTCTGGACCATCCTTATTTGCTACGTCACCCACAGGTTATGACCATTGCAAGTCGGAAATACTAAGGCCGGGTAGCAGGTGGATGGGAGACGCCGTTTGCCTTGAACCTGGCCCCTATTCCTTCAGCACACACACCATGGACGTGGGAAGGATTAGGATAAATGCACCGTATGCCCTCAAGGCAGTAACTAGAGGGCAACTAGCTCCACACCTTAACTAATCTTTGAACTAAGCGTTGTCAAGTATAAATTGCATGGCAACCATTTGAATAAGCACAACTGTTTCCGGAGGTCAATAATCTGGCTAACGACTTCTAACAAGTAAGTAGCATGTCAACCTTCTCATTGCTCTTGTCAAACAAAACATATAAAAAGGGTAGAAGCCTCCAAAATAAGGCAGCACAATTATCCGTGCGAGTTTGCCTCAATCAAACTGGCAATTTCGCGCCTGTGTCGGATCAGTCGCAGAGCTCTCACAACAGTGCTCGAACTTGCATACATATGATCATACTCGCCCATCGCTAAAAAGTGATTAGGACACATAATATCAGTGAGATAAGCAGCGATCATTTGCTCAACTCAGTTTTCGAAGCATTAGCCATCCCGCTCGCATTTATTCATCCATACAAGTAACGGTGCGCACCATCATCAGGCCATGAGTTTTGACCGTCCTCCAATGAATACAGACTTCATTGATATATAAGCCTGACTCGTTTATACCTGGGAAGTTCAGGTACCAATACGCGTTTCAACGCTAAGAACAAATTACAAGGTGTGTGGGTTAAAATCACGCTGGTTAGGTTGAGTGACCCGCGCGTACACATTGACAGACATATATATTAGGCAAAACAGCGACGGAGACTCATGACTGGTAGTGCAAGTGTACAGAGTTGAAGCAGTTAATGTAAAGTGTATGTTTGAGTGATTTAACTGATTTTAAGATGCAAAGGAAGATGCCGAGGCTTCCCGTGCAGTTCAGTCCTGTTCTGAAGCGCACACTAGATCTAATAAGTGTCTGTGAAATATGAAAATGTATTATCAAAACAAACATATGGCATGCCGTAGTTGTAACCGGAGGAGTTCACTTGGTATACAGTCGAGGCGGCTCAATTACACCCATTAAGTCATGTTGTATTTTTGAGTAAGTATGCATCCTGTACGTTTGATAGCATCTGACCAATGACCTATGCAAATGTGGGAAGGGAGCAATTTTCTCCCTTCATTGTTCCGCCTACTCAATAAGAGAGTTGACTAATAAAGTTTTGTTACTAAGTACAACCTGGCTTTATATACTAGCTGAAACAAAAGTCACCCATGTCACGCACCCTACTCTGAAGCCCTACAGATCGACGCCTACGAGTGAGACCTAAAAAGAAACGCTTACCAGGTATCATTTGCTCAGGAAGTCCATTTTGTCGACTCCTAGATAGCACGGAGGCTGTGTTCTTGAAGTATCCATCCAAAACGCACATGCCTCAGAAGTTAACGCGAAGCTCAACTTTTGCGAGTATTCGCTTTGCCTATTACGTATGATCTCGTTCCCCTAGGCTGCCGATAATTACCTGTCCTCAACACATGAATGAGTCTATGATGGGCACACGACTCTCCACAGACTAGCTACTAAGTGTGCGGCTGATACTGATTGGCTCAGCTCAGCTACAGCACCTATGGTCCGATTAGCCGTTCTTCACAGCAGCCAGTCTCGAGTCGCATAGCACGCCAGTGATTCTTGTCCGCAATATCTGCGTGACATGGTACGATGCAGACTTGTTCCGCTCACGGAACTGCGTTTCAGGATGGGCGCGCTCCGGTCCAGTCACCAGTATCCTTCTTTAACCAGCAACTGTCATCTGGGGGTTAGTTGATCTGCAATTGGCTTAGCATCGTTGCTACTGAAAGGTTGAACCGATCTCTCTCGATTGCGGAGACTAACTGGTCGCCTTGGTGCACCTGTTCGTGAAGGAACACCAATTAGCAGTCTCAATCTAAAATATACATGAGTCACACGCCGTAACATAATGCTAGGGCTCTAAGCAAACCGTCCGGGATATATGCTAGTTCACATGGTTGGTTTGAGTTCGCGGACATCTCTACACTGTACGTCCAATCCAATCCAATCACGACCGAATCCGAGTACCAAGTGCCTAGTGGAATGAATATATGAGGACGCAATAGAACCCCATTCCCAGCTAATTATAGCATTGCAGTTAAAAGACAGTGGTGTAGAACGAACTTGCTCAATCCCTGTACTGACTGTGGATTGCCCTGAATCCGGTGAGTCAGAGCAATTCCTCTACAAATTGGGCAGGTAACTGTGATAGTTTGTGGGCCTGTGTCAGCCCGGCATTCATGCGTGCAGGGACTCATGTTTGTCGCCCGATTGTGAAGCTGCACGTGACAGCCTGTAATTCACGACACGTCCGACATCCAGGTCACTGTGTGATACCATGCTAACTTACTCGTTGGACTGTGGCTGCACGTGACCGTGTGACTACCGCCGAGTACAGACGACCGTGACTACGTGCCACTGGCTGAGACGATGGGGCATTACAACTACTACGTGCGTGAATTCGGTACTTATTTGATGTATACTCTCTGTACTTCAGCTGCATGTGAATGCTTCAATACCTGATCTTGCTTATAGTTCTTCTCCCACTTACGGAGATTCGTTACCTAGTGGCGTTAGTCCGATACACTAAGAATACTACAGTAATCCACTTGAAATCAATCACATGATCCACGGTCCTTCCAAAGCACTCGTACGTAATGCGCGAACTGTTCAATGGTGTTCACCGTGCGCAGATACTAGACCAAATATTCACCGAGCATATCGCTACCAGCTGTGGTGGACCATTATTTCGAATACTGCTTTCAGTCGCAGATGCAATAGAAGCAGGATAAGTATGCATGTGTTTATATAAAACCTCTACTACTACTCTTCTGTTATATAAAACCATTGGTAACACAGAGAAGGATCCACCATCTGAACATTAAGGCAAATCTGGCGGAACTGATAGATATGTAGCTGCTCTCGCAAAGGAAAGCTGTCTTAGTGCAGTGTGAATGACCGTCAACTTTACGTTCTTAGAAGTTCATGTCAAGTGAGGTCTGAATTTGTGCCTAATAATGCTTGCAACATGGTCCCATCTGATCGGCGAAAACAAATCATCATGTTTACTTCGCATTTTTATTGGGAGCAATTCACTGGAGAGTTGTTGTCGGCGCTGGATAAACATCTCTGGGTTCTTAGTTGATAGCTGAGTCCAGTGCACTCAGTCTTGTTCACCTTTAAGCGCCGTCAGGGTGCAAATTCGCTTGGTTCTTTAGTGTTGAGGATCCACTATGTTACTCTTGCATGCAACGGAGGCGAAACTACAGAACAAAAGTGAAGCACGCCGCAGATGGCTTTGATGTGGGTTTACTATTAAGTATGCCCTTCTTCCATTTCCGTGGGAAATTCCATAAGCTGAATATTACTAACTTTCGCATCGTTCCTTTCTGCTCCACAACAACGCACTTATGAGGAGGCGTTTGTACCGAAATAGCCTAGCTTAATAAACTGTTTGGTTAACAAATGTCTAATGGTTTAACACCTATAATGGATAGACTGAGGGTGAATCTAATTCGATTGATAAGGTGATACGAAAAATGGTGCAGTTGGGGAGGGTTTAAATGTAGCACACATTAAGATAGTGTATTTTTACTTCATGATGTCCGTAAGTTGCTTTTCAGTCAAACCATTGGCCTCTGCCCAAAACTGGTCCAAAAGGATCGCCCGTGCTTATGTCGTCCAGTCACACGTATGAGATCCATATTGACCCGAATCGTACTTTCTATATATATATATATATATATATATATATATATATATATATATATATATATATATATATATATATATATATATATATATATATATATATATATATATATATATATATATATATATATATATATATATATATATATATATATATATATATATAGACGACACGGACAGTCTAATAGACAACACAGACATTGGGTCTCTTCGCAGTCTTTGGAACTTATAGATGCTCGCCGGCAAATCCCGGCTGGAAGCGAGCACAATGAAACTCGCAAAGAGCTCCGGGCAAAACTCAGTGCTAGCCTGAAGAGAGACCGCGAATCGTGGTGGTCTCATCATGCGTCAGAGATGGAAGTGGCCGCTGCCCTTGGCAACCATCGTAAGTTATTCCGTCTGATACGGGAAACGGGCAGCAGGAGACCTGGTGTTAGTGAAACTATACTTGACGAGAGTGGACAGCCTATCCACAATTTGTCAAAACGTTTGGAGCGTTGGGCTGAGCATTTTGAAAAGCAATTTAATCGACAAGAATTGTTCGATTCGCCGGTCACCGATCGCCCCGCTCCGTGGGCTGTCCCTTTGGATCCACCCTCTCGCTCAGAAGTCGAACGTGAGATCGAACTGTTGAAGTTGAACAAAGCCGCGGGACCAGATGATCTTCCTCCAGCCCTCTTCAAATTTGGAGGCTCTGCTCTTGTTGATGCTTTGCATGAATTACTAATGAAACTGTGGGAGCAGGAAACTGTCCCAACCGACTGGAGCCGCTCCGTTATTGTTCCCATCTTCAAAGGCGGCTCGCGCTTGGAATGCGGCAACCATAGAGGAATCAGTCTGATCTCCGTCGCCTCCAAATTACTCGCGTCCGTAATTCTCCACAGACTGACTGGCGCTCGTGATAGCCAAATTCCTGAGGAGCAAGCCGGGTTTCGTCGGGGTCATGGCTGCATCGACCACATCTTCACCTTGCGACAATTGTTGGAGCACCGTCACACATATTGGCGGCCCACCGTAGTCGTGTTCCTCGACATCAAAGGTGCCTTCGATTCGGTTGATCGATGTGCCCTTTGGAATTGTCTACTCAGGAAAGGTGTGCCCGGGAAATATGTAAATATTATCCAAGCATTATATGCGCGTAGCACGGGCAGAGTAAGGGC